GCTGCGCCGGGGCCGCGGCTTCCAGGTCCTGGGAGCGCTGCGGACGGCCGAGGCTGGTTCTTCTCCACCTCTCGCTCCCAAAACAAGTGCTGACAGGTCCTTTGCCCCACAGATTTGCTGCCCGCCAAGAATGGCGAGGAGCAGACCACGCAGTTCCTGCTGGAGGTCGTGGACATCCTCCTCAACTACGTGAGGAAGACGTTTGACAGATCCACCAAAGTACTGGACTTCCACCACCCACACCAACTCCTGGAGGGCATGGAGGGCTTCAATCTGGAGCTCTCGGACAACCCCGAGTCCCTAGAGCAGATCCTGGTGGACTGCCGGGACACGCTGAAGTACGGAGTGAGGACAGGTAGGTTCTCACACGGTGCTCTGGCGAGGCCCTCCCGGGGCTTGTCTCTGGCCCATGCTGAAAGGAGTGGGCTTGAGCCCACGGAGGTAAGCCCTAGATTCTGTCTCCCTGGAGGCTCAGCTCCAGGGCTGTCTGCAGGCACTGGAAATGTCTCTACTCAGAAAGTTACATTATTGATGCTCCATCCGTCCCTGGTGGGTAGGGCTCGGTGCTGTTTGCAGCGCCCAGAAACAAGTTTTTAAGACGTAATCTCTTTCACTTGATGAAATGCGAGCTGTCTATATCTCCGGGGAGCAATATCATTAGGTAAATGAGGGCGTAAATGACACTGAATTTGCAGTTTTTCTTCTTTATGTTCACCAGACGTTTAATGAAAAAGAGACTGAAATCCTAGGAATCATCAATAAAGGAACCCTGTGGATTTCAGCCCATTACCCAGGAACCCCGCCTGTCCAGGTTCTTCTGAATCAGATAGAAATGCCCGTTTATGATCACTTCTTTTACCGGGTGAGCGGTAGTCAGGCTCTAGAGAAAAGCCTGTTTTCCATTTTTGCCAGCAGAAATCTGGCTAGCCCACAAGCCCTGACTGCTGTATGTGCCGGAGCAGGTCAGGAAATGGAGAGACAGGGGCGCGGGGGCCGTGTCCCCGCACCCTAGTCCTGCTCCAGCTGGGCTCAGCTCGGCTCGGCTCAGCCCAGCTCGGCGAGCGGTGCTGCCGTGGCGGCGGCGGTCTCTCGGTGGAGCTGAAGTGGCGAGGCAGCGGGAAGTGGCGGAGGGAGGTTTTTGTCTGACAGTCTCCGGCTAGGCAGCTGCGAGAAATGGCTCCTGGGGGACGAGGCACTGCTTCCTGTACTGTTTCGTTATGCAGTTGTGAAAACCCAACGCAGAGCGCATTCAGGGAACAAAATGTCAAGAAATGTGGCGGTTAGCTTCCTGTCTTCCCCCATTTTCATGCCAGCTTGATTTATTCAGGGGTGTCGGGGCATATTTTGATGTTCTGCCCTTAGTCAAAGGGGAGCGGTTTTCGCTCCCAAACCCGTGGGTTGTTGAACAGGCGGCCAGCAGCAAAGACAGAGTCACCGCTGTCTGTGTGCTGGCACCGCTATTCCGCTATCGATTGCGCCGGGACCTGGAGCAAATTCCTGCCCTTGCCCCGACCTCCCCTGGAGCTTTTGCGAGACTGACAGGACCCTACCCCGGGAGCAGAGATGCAGGAATCAGATCAGACACAAGCTCTGTTCGAAGCAGTACCCGGTGCAGCTTTAAAGAGCTGCTCGGACTGTGTGAGAGCCTTAGGACACACACCCCAGTTTCCCGAGCTCCGGGGGCTCACGGTCTCTGCAGACGAGGCTCCCTTTAGAGCCAGCGGGGCT